CCGCCATCTGACTTCAAAATATCAGCTGCTGTGAAGGATACCTCTTCCCGAAAAATACAAGGCGACAGTGACGAATTGTCCAGGAGATGATACGTCTAAAACTTTGTAAGATCTGGCAAGCTTTTTACGGCCGGCGGTGGGAGAGAACCACACAAATATATCAAGACCTCCCCTGTGACGAAATATTTCTACACTTTACTTTTGCCTCTTTGACTAACAATCTCGGTATCTTGCGCATACTCTCTTTCCTTCTTTTTCGAAAAACTGAAGACCTCCAGGTTGTGTGCTCATAACGGCGATCAATGCCAACGCGAAAGGGGACAAGGGTTGCGCCCCATCTAGGGCGCATCCAGAAGACACCTACACGAAGAGCGAGTTCCGCCCAAGGTACACCGAACTTGAACTCAGCGCCTCATCACCAAGCTTCTCGCTGGTGTACATTCCCCAAGTGCAACACAATGGTGATATGAATTTTTCCGCTGGGCAAAAGGCCTCCAGCGTACTGACACACTATCCGTCGCCTCTTTCGTCAAAGTTATGCGGATATGCTCCTGTGTCAAGCGTGAATAACTCAGATATTTCACCAGTTAACACCCATGTCACATGCCTAAGATCAGCTGATTCCCCTCATGCACATGCCGGCAATGAAAAAAACCTTGGAATGGGAATTCGGAACAGCGGCGGATGGTCAGTCAGGAATCACGGTCCGTATCTCGCCCCTGGAGTACTTGGCGTAAATCAAATCCATCAACAGGCTCAGTACCAAATTAGTTCTGGCCAGGACCAAGACGATCAAATCCCGGACGTCAATGATTTTGCCCGTTTTGTGAAGACGCTTGAAGAGAGTCCTACCATTTCGAAAGCTCCGAAGTGACTTTTGTAATGTGAAGAAGTCTCTGGACGATTTAAAGAACACAGAATTGCAAATCAATGAAGCTATAGCCAACTTAGTACCTTCATTGGCGGAAATCAAAAGCATGATTATTGGTGGCGGTATTGGCGGAAACATCACGGCTGTTGGCTTAAAAGGACGACATACAAGGCGCCGTCTGTCTTCTGGTTATGAAACGGAACGCGTGCGCACTGCCAAGACGCTTCTTTGTGAGTTGGAGGGGGGAAGGTGCACCGCTGTGGGTAATTCTCTTTTTTGTATGGCGGCAGTGCTATGGTCCAAGTGCTTGAAGGACAGGCCTTCAGGAATAAAGGCTGGAATACATCTTGGGAGCTTCATTTCCCAAAACTTGAGGGATGTGCAGCTCAACGCAAATCAATTCTACCCAGATGTCGATCAGTTTCTCGATGTTCTGGTGCTATCAGCTCTACAAAAAGCTACCCCACACGCCCAAAATGAAGCCTTGGATCACGTCAAGGAGTTTTACAACGTTAACAAGCAGTACTTCGAGAATTGCTTGCGGATAAGCCTACGAAACATATACGGGACGAGAAGGAAAGACATTGTCGAGACATTTCAGAGCTTCACAAGCAACAAAAGCATTTCGGAGTGTTTTGGAAGCAGTGCTGCAGTAGATTCTGGGTTGTTTCGGTCAAACCAGAAATCTCCTGTGGACGATCCGCGCTTTGCACACGCCTTGCGGACTGCATTTCGCCTCGGAGGCCGAGCTGCGTCTCTTTCTATCCTTTCATTTGCTAGTGTAACTCTAATTCGTGAGTTCACCATGAAAACAGTACAGCCAGCGTTATTCGGCGTCGTACCGGGAGGTGCCTTATCACAAGTTGCCCACGAAGGGCATCAGGAGATGCACGGCTTAAGTTGTGCGGCTTTGGCAAAGAAACCCGATGAGAAAGCCACCAAAATCGATATTGGATGGAAGACGGACAGTTTCGACATCACTCACGTTGAGCAGGTGAATAGAAACTGGTTGGACAAATACAAAGTACGCCTGGGTGCGACAAGCATGTAACTAATCAGCACCCTACTATGTCCCGTTTGTCCGCAAGCATGATGGTGCGCGAGGTGCCTGCCACGGAAAGTTAGAACCTGGTGGTGGGCATGGACATCGACGAGGGAGCCGTCCTTAACGATTATGAGGACAACGACGAGCTCTTCTACGGCATCGCTCTGCGCGATTTGATGAGATAGGAATGCCCGCTGAACGTTGCGAAGACGTGATGATGATGTTTCCGATTTTGTATTGATAGAACAAGAGATAACGATAGCAATAGCAGTACCGTTATGGAACGATAAAATTGAAAACGAAAGGGCGATGAAAGCCCGATCGAGCGCACCCAGTCGAGCATTGATCGGATAATACAAGTGGGGTCACCCATTTTTTGAACAGTGCTCCTGTGAGTTGAACAGCCCAAATTTAATTTAATTTAGGTTTCAACGCCATCCTGCCTAAAATTGAGAACATCTGGGAGCTTTACATTGCTGTATCTCTTGAAGTATTGACCTAATGAATAAGCTGTGTCCAGAATCAGATTCTGCGCGCGACTTTACTGTACTTGGACATACTCAACGTTTCGGCTTCCCGCTATTCGCGAATTGGCTAGAATATAGGTAATTATGGCGATCTCAATGTGGTCCCAAGAGCCATGAGTGTGCGCCGAGCTGCTGCACGAAAGAGAGTGCTAGCAGCTCGCTCTGGACATGCGCTTGATTCTTGTTCCGAACATTAAATGAGATAAAATTTGATGATTCCAGTCACTGGGATATGCACCGTGGCGTTCAAATAATAGGCGCAATGTTCGGTGACGTGTATCTTCAGATCGTGTTTGATACAAAGAAATGCCATTTGTAAGCAGTCCTGGGGTCCTCTAATTCATGAGTACAGTAGGGCTCAGGACATTAGGAGCTCTCGTTTGGTGGCGGTTTCGTCCTGGGACGTAAAGGGAAAGTATATTTTCCATTAATGTTTGTGAGGCGTTCAAGAAAAGGGTGACCCCACTTGTAGAGCAGTGGTGACCCTGGGGCCAGGAAAGCATTGATGCCGTTCGCATGGCGAAACAGGCAACAGACCTCATCATTTTCTTTGCAAAACTTTGTGATGTAGTTTATCATATGTGGCATTGTTGCTGTGGTTTCTCCGGTCACGAATGGGTTGCCCGCATCGGAGATGTCGTTAGGATGGCGCAGAAGGCTTCAGTGTTTGTTTCACTCGCAAATGATGGCACTTGCGACCCCGACGTCGCAAGAGCCATTTGTTTAACTGTGAGGAATATTGACGGGCCTCTAGTGGGGATAGTAGCGCCGCGCCGCCGCCGTACTGCCACTTCTCTGTCCTCGCACCGCCACTGCCCCAAGTCATCCGCGCTGCCGCTGTGCCGCCGCTTCCCTGTCGTGCTTGCCGCCACGCCGCCGTCCGCATTCCGTCGCCCAAGGCCGCTGTGCTCCCACTGTGCCACCACCTCAACGCCGCGCTTGCGGCCGTGCCGCCGCCGGACACCGCCGCCTCAAGGCCGCCGTGCTGGCACTGCAAAGCGTCGGCCTCGCCATTGCACTTGCCTCTGCGCCGCCGCCAGCACACCGCCACTTCGAAGCCACCGCTGAGCCGCCACTGAGCCGCCACTGAGCTGCCGTCGGTCTACCGCTTGCTGCAGCTTCGCAGCCACCGGACATTCCCAGCTCAACGCTGGCGCCTGGCCGGTGCCGCTGTGTCGCCCAAAGCCTACACGCAGCCGCAACGCCCCCGATTGCCGCCGCGCTGCCGCCGCTCCGAAAGAAAAAGAAGACTTACTGACGATTCAAGGTGGTATTTTTTCAAAAGATTTTAAACTCACACAAGTGCGCAATGATTCATGAGCTAGCCATAGGGGTCCCTTTGTGGAACGTGGTTAGATTTTTAACCGTGAGTATCGGAGCTACTACACTCGTCTCGAAAGTGTGGTCATGTGGCATCTCCCTCAGGGCCGGGTCCCGCGTGGCCGCTGGACAGGCAGTGTCTTTGAGACCTAGGCCATTCACTAGAGGGTCCGTAGTAGTTGAAGAGGACGTGAAGGACCGTCCAATGTTACTGGTACTTGGGTTACTTGTGGCTGCCATGGCCGCGGCGGACCTCCTGATCGAATTCGGTTCAGGGTCTAAGGAAGTCCCTACAGGACAATTGTTTTCGACAGGTTATGATGGCAACGCCAATTTCCCGGTCCTGGATGTCAGGAAGGATAGGACTGGGAGGTGGAGTCCAGTCAAGCGTAGAGCCCGGGTTGGTTATACAGAATACGACGTCCACCGTTTCGGGGAGTTGAATGATGGTAAGCCTTGGGGTGTCACCGAAGAGGAGAGGTTTACGTTACTCAGCGCTAGAAGTGCGGTCAACGTGCAGTTTCTGACGGCAGCGACTCTCCGGGAGTGGTTGCGTGCTGGAGAAGGAGACAAGGTCTGGTTTTCGGGGAGGAACGGCGCCCTCATGGTCAAGAACGACACGGTTATTTATGTGAACGAAGTACAATATTTTGTCCTTATCGAGAAACACTGGACAAGGGAGCCTTCAGTTAGCGCAGTCGAGGTATTATCAGGGTCACTCTTCACTCTAAGCCTGAAGAGGTATGCGATCTACGGGATGACTGCACGGGTGAGCCTCCTAGGAAGACCGCGGTTGGCTCTTGACTGCGAAAAGTCACCCGAGTATCCAGCCAGCTGGGGAGTTGAATGTAATACGGGCGTGGACTCACTAGGCACTATCTCTAGACACGATGTTTCATCAGGGACAATCCAGGACGACGAATTCCGAACACAGGGGCTCACTGTAGATTTTGGACGCCACGTGGACCGGGAACTTAGCTGGGGCGAATACGCTACAGCTGAAAGCAGACCACTTAGCACGGAGTCAAGAGGGTACGACACGATAGTGCTAATCGGAGAGAACGCGCACGCAGTGATAACGGAGACTGCAGGAGTGCATCTGTTTGTTGAAGACGGCGACATCACAATGTGCGTCAACATTATCAGCAACGAATCTGGCGGATTGAAGGCCATGTGCAGGAGACGCCCATGGGATACGAGGCGGGAGGCCATTACAGCCTACCTCACGCTCCAATTAATGCTCTCAGACTTCAGGAAGATTTGGGGCGTCTTTCAGGCCTGGAAAGTAGGTAAGAAGACAACGTCGCCGACCGAAGTGCGTTGGTTGTCAAATGAGATGCAATGTGAGCAGGGTGAACTACTCTCGGATAAGAAATTGATTGCTACTGTCAATGAACTCTTCCTAATTGGGTCTGGTGCCGTCCTTTTCGCGGTGCTAGCCGGTTTAAGTGTCTGCTCTTTCTATGCTAGAAGGGCCTCAAAATGGCCGCCAGTCTGTCGGGCACTCACGATCGACAGCAGCCGGCGTGTGATGGCCATGTCGAAGTTGTCCAAGTATAACTGTTCGGGGGTACCGACGAAGCCGCCGATGACGCTCATAATGAGGAGTGGTGAGAACACATGCCACTTTGAAACTACTTATGATGACAGGATTGATCCTATAGGTATGAGCGATGCCCACAAGGAGAAGCTAATCCTGTTAGGAGGCGGGCGAGCTGTCAATGATGGATAATAATGGGTGCATTCCGAAACTGTGATTTTCCCAAAATCACCAAATGTGGCGGCACCCCGGAAATGAAAAACATTCCAACTGTAGTTCGCCCGTTTCCCTAGAGAATTGGCGGGAGCGCTATGAATAAGGCATTCGCAAGAAAATGGGAGTCACAGATGGTGGGTGGTGCGCAGAAATGCCGTACAGGGGGGGGGGGGGGGGGGGTCGCGATATAGTGCTACCCTGTGCTAGTGGGCCGAAAACGGCACTATATCGAACCAGGCACTGTAAGATAATGAGATATAACGGCTTTTTTGCATCCACTTCCTTGCATCACTGCTCTGAAAGACCGCTCGCAGGACGCCATCACTCATACTTGGCAATGCTTGATTAGACTTGAGTCTGTATCTTCAATACAGACAGATCTAATCAAGCATTTATGTTATCATTACCCTTCGAAGGGTAGTTGCTGCCGAGCCGTCGTCGCATTCACTTCCTCCTTTTTCCAGCCTACACTTGCAGATGTCCAATTGCATCATCGACCCTGCCTTTTTCCGCCATAGTCTCTATTCGAGTGAGTAAACTGCATAATATCTTTCCGCGGCGCCAGCGGCTCTCGGGCAGTACGTCCATCCAACTGCCTCTCTGGAGACCCTTCGTTTTTGGCTCAAAATTCGTGCCAATTGCAAAAGGGTAGCACTATATCGGGTCTGGCACTAACAAATATGGCACTATATCGCGACCACCCCCCTGTATTTGGATCGCGGGAAATTTGGCGGAGCAACTGCCGAACTGTAAAGGAGTCCCTGATCCCTCTACAGAAATTCGCATCTGGAGAGAATCCGACAAATTTGTCGCAATTTCATTGGTCAATATTTGTGTAATTTGGTTTTCCGGCCATTTCGGAATTCACCCATTGGGTGCATAGACACTAGGCGTCGGAAGGATCCTGTTAAATAATATGGGGAAAAATGCCTCATAATGTATGAAGCGAAATTCTCAAACTAGGCGCATTGCTCAATAGACACTACTGTAGTAAATTTCGCTGAAATCCAAAAATTCAAACAATACTTTCACCAAAAAACCTTTGGCAGTGGAGGGCAAGAGCTTAGCAAGGGTTGCCCCACATGAAACTGTGGTTCCCCTCACAAGATGGTGCATCACGCTTTAACCTTGGAAGGGTAGGCACACCTACGCAGAGACAGACCTGACATAAAGTGGTGACGGCGCCTCCGCCAGGAGGAGGGGGAGGCATCGGAATCTTGGTACTGGGGAGGCGGTATCATGGTGCGATGTGTCGCAAGGAGGGATAATGCCGTCAACTGGCTGCCGGAATACCGAGAGTAAGGGCATTGGCCCCGCTGCTATGACAGGGTAGTGTGATGCTGCCTCCAAGTGCTTTGCTTGCTTCAGTGACGAGGGGCTAGACGCACGGGTACTGTTCGTTTGCCGGCCATTGGTGCGGCAGAGTATCCAGGAGGGGCTTTCTTTTCCAGCGTCGGTTTATTGTAAGATCATGTGCTATCGAGACGATACTATAATATAGTATGTGTGTACAGTATGCAGTCATTTAGCGCCAGGGTTCCAGTCAGCAAAGAGGGTACCACGATGTAGTTACCAGAAGTCAACTGTGACGCAGGGGTTTGGACTTGTTTCATGTCAAAACTAGTTTACAGCGTCACCTTATAATGCACCGCACCCCATGCGCATGTCTTGTTTCCACGCTGTCCCGTCCACGAGACGCCCTAGCCGTAACGCACGCCTCCTGTGGTCTTCTAGTTTCTGGTGCTACGGTGCGATACAGTGTGCTTTGGGGGAGAGCCAGTCGACTGGGATGCAAACAGTAGAATGATGTACAGCCGATACAAGGCCACTTTGAGCAGAAGTGTACTGATGGCCAAAATACTGGACGCAGCTGTACTGCACGGAGGGAGGCCAGACAGCAAAGTTTCGCCGGGAATTGCTTACATCAACTTGCTGAAAAGATAGCAAAATCACAGGCATCTCCTTCTTCCCCGAAACTGGAGGTGTGTAGAGAAGACCAGGGCTCCTATGGAGCTATTTTTGCTGGGAAAGCGCAAAGTACTTGACATCCCCTTGGACGTGTTGTGGAACGAGGGATTCGACAGTGCCCGCAAACGGGTACGAATATTGTGCCCCATTGGAGGCAGAATACCCAAAGAGTTGTCAGGGGGAGAGCACGAACAGCTAAAGTTATGTGCACATTCAATGCAGCACAAGGTCGTAGGGGGTGCGTTGGGTAATGGAAAAGGATATGCACATGTGGCATATATCACATGCAGTGTGAAAGCAATTGTGCCAGTCATCCATAAAATCTGGAGTCTGTATCGGATCCGCCGTGTTAATGCCTTGTAAGCAAACAATAGGCGAACGGTGCCAAAGAATAGGTAACCACAGAGAGATGTCTGAATTCTAAAGATCTTTCATTCATATGGTTCATCTAGAGTGAGATCTCCCGTATTGATAAATTTATGTGCCCATCGGGCGCTCGCCAAAGCGTCGAAGTACCCAAATTTGAGCCATGTATCCAATCATAACTGCATTCTATCATTCTACGTCAAATAAGCATCCAGTAAAGCAATCGCTCATACCTGTCACGAACTGGTGACGAGGATACATGCTTCTGCTCGATGTTCACAAACCGTCCATGCACACAGAACGCGTATATGCCGTAAAGTGCGTCTGTAGATCTGTGCACCGCACTACAAATACGAGAGACTGTGGTTTCTTGGTCGGAGAAGAAGAAGAAGAATCAAAAGCCGTACATTCGTTTGGAGAAGTCCTTCCCGCTCGCAATGACTCGTTTGCACCTCATCTCAGCAGTGCTGCTCTCTGTCTTTATCGCCTCTGGTGCTCTCACTATCGATCTAGGTGAAGTTGCCGAACGGCAGCAGCGTCGGAATAGGTGCGGTCGTGGCAAGTGCCGTTTCGTTATTTGCCGCGGAAGTCAGACATCGTTTCTCGCCGCTCCGAATACAGCTCTTAGCTCTCCCATATGCCGCCGCGATCAGAAAATTGAGCAAATTCTGTCCACAGGAGAAGCTCGAATCAAAGATTCCGAAGGGGATCTTATCCCTATCTCGGAGTGGCGACCTGAAGGCCTCGAAGTACCGTTCAAGTCAGGCGCATTGTTCGCCGATGCGATACCCGGTCGCGGTCTTTCTGGTCTTGCGAGGCTTCCTGCAGTGGGGAATCAGAATGAATTCTTGGACAACGTCTGTGTTGTGGTTCCTATTAGAAGCTACGAAAGAATAGTGAACGGGAAGAAGAGAGTGAGACAGGCGACCAGTCCGCAGGATTGTCTCAGCGTCGGACTGCAATCGCCCACAATTTTCATTGAAGCCTTCTGGACCTCTGGAGACGATATGGATTTGGCAGTCATTGAGCCTGATAATGTAAGAGTGGACAATAAGAATCGCGCGTCTTCCTGCGGAAGACTCATTCGTGACCAGAATGTGGATGCTTGTGGCGTGTTCAATTCGGGCCAGGAAAGGATCATTTACCAATTGCCATGCAACGGATTTAAGACGGGAAGATACAGAGCAGTGTTGAAGCATGGTGGTAATTGTGGTAGCGGACCGACCTCATATGAACTTCGAGTAGTTGTGAATGGCCGGTTGAAGGCCATAAAGAAGGGGGTCTCAAATGCCGACGGTGGCAAGAGAGTAACCTCGCTACGGTTCATGTTGGAATGACGTAGCATGGAGGCATAACCCCACTTTGCAGGCCATAGCTCGTACTGTTTATTACCACGTGGAACGCTGATATAACTGCTGAATCTTCTGGAGCCCTACGGAGAACACAAAGTATCGGAACTGTCGACTACAACATGCAAAATGGCCACATGACAATAAACTCTACTAAACTTCTCGTCCTCTTTTACCCTTAATCGGAAGAAGATATTCACAACTAAGAACCCCCCTGACGTGATACCCGTCGATTGTCTTACAGCTCATGAGCGTTCTCATCGGAAAGATAGGCATGTTACGGTAGAGTGAACTTCAAAGTTGCAACTTTGGCGCCCCTATTCTTGTTTGACTCTCCATTAATGCTCTTTGAAAGAGTTCCATTCACTACAACTCGAAGCACAAATCTAGTCGACCCACTACCACAATTTCCAGTGTGCCTCACCACGGCGGTATAGGTCCCATTTTGGAACTCTGGGCAAGGCAAACTGTACTCAACTCGTTCTTTCGCTCTGTCGAAAAGGCCGCAGATGTCAATACCGTTGTCTCTATTCAACCTTCCGCACTTCGACGTTTTCTGCTTGCTAGAAATTCTGAATCCTCCTGGTTCAACAACAGAAAGGTCCATATCGTCTCCCGAGAACCAGTTCAACTCGATGACAACTGAAGGTACCCTTAGCGACACGGCTAGACAGTCATTACTGCTCCCCGCGTTGACTCCATAAAGTCTGCCATTTAACTCCCGCTGATACCTCTTTATCGGCAGGATGATACAGAGATCATCAATAAATCTGTACTGGTTTTCCTGCGGCGGTCTGAAAGCGACACCGGACAGACGAGGGACACCTGGGAGCTTTATCGCGTAAAAGAAGTCACGACTAAATGGAACCCGCAAGCCTTCGGGGCGCCACTGGGAGATTGGAATTCGAGATCCTCCTTGAACGACACGGGCTTCGCCTGTTTCCAAGATGTACTCGATATTTTGGTCTCTACGGCAGATAGTCGGGCCGACAGCCGTATCTGGGGCGCCAAGAGTAATAGATTCAGGACTGCAAAGCGCAAAACGGCACACGTTTGGACAAGACGTTTGTGGGCTCATTCGGAATGCAGTATTGAAACGGACGGCCGGGACGCTTGAGAGATCAATCGATGACATGAGAAGAGTTGCAACAAGTGACAAAACCCGTGGGAGAGCCATCTTGAGGATGAGGTAAAGACGGCCTGAAGCTGTGGGACATGAAGGAACAAGGAAAGCATGGAGAAGCTATATAGCACTTTTCTTGCATCAACGAGTGGTCAGAGATGTAAAGATGGAATTTTGTCCAAGACTTTGGCAGTAGCTTCACTCTGCCGATAAATTGCTCTTCATGGCTGGCGATTGGTCTTGTAAACTGTGTCGACTGCTTTGCACACAACGCTAGCTTCGCCACCTTGTCGGGTGGTGCTGCCATTCTTGCTCTCGAGATTTGCTCTCGAGATTTGCCATCTCGCAGGCTTCTATCACTCACCCTATGTATGAAACGTGATGGTATCCGATACACGACGAAGCCTTTAAGGTGGTCAACGCAAATCCTGCAAGAACCCCAAAACAAAATAATAAAACTTATGGCGGGAGGAAATCCTGGCCAAGTTCGGAGGCCCCGCCCCGGCTGCGAAAAAATGGCCTCCTGCTTCTGTTTTTGTTGTAGTTTGAAGCCAGCTTTCTTAATCGCTACTAGCCCCCTCCTTCTCATTTCTGTGTATGGATATGAATTGAGCTGGAGAAACTGTATCCGCGAATGGGTTTGGGGTTATGTAGCGTAAATCAGGAGATATGCTCCCGTGGATCGATGCTATAGGTTTGCAATCAACCTTTTGATTGCTGACTGGAAGCCCCTCCTGAACACAGAGCGCTCACTGAGCACAACTCCGACATACGTCCACTCTCTGCGTCACATCCTCGCTGTCACCTTTCCAAAGGGCAGAGTTTAAGTTGCTTTTACTTGACTGCAACAATGCAGTTATGCAAGGTAACAGCAAGGTGCTTCAACAATCTACCTACTACCGTATGATGCAAAATGCGGATCTGATCGATACTGTAGGAAGTGGAGTGAGATCTAGTCCAGACAGTGTAGAGTGCTACATATTTCGCAGCGACCATGCTTCCCGCTCCCGCATGCCTCGCTGCAGCAACTACAGGTCCATGAGGCTTTGATGCAATCCCATGCTTGGAGGGATGCGTGTACGTGCAAAACTGATTTTGAATTTACTGAGATAAACGTTCCGAAATATTTTGAAATTCATGAGACGTCTCACTCGGCATAAAGGAGGGTTGCCCTAATTATCGGTCACCCCCCCCAACTCGTCGGTCACCCCTAATTGTTCAAATAAATTCCCAAAAAATTAGATTCTTGTACACGTAAGGGGCCAAGTTTCAGTCCTTGGAGTATCTCCTTGCTGATTATCTCTGAAAGTAGTGGATAGATTTAAAAATAAAGCTTTCCAGTCGCTCTGCCAGAGCGTTTTTCCATGACAAACGAACCCGCCACTTGGCAAGAATGCAGATTAACTGCATTCAAATCCCTCCGAAAAGGCGGGCTTATGGTTTTTTGACCGAATCTTGCCATCCGATCCCTCCAGGGACACCATGAACGCCCATTCACATCCCATCCAAGCCCTTCCTTCCAGGATGCAAGCCGCTCTCCCGCAATTGCCTCGAACGCGGCAAGGCAGGTTTACGCGCCGCCCCTGCAAGTTCGCCTCGGACCCTCCACCACCCACCCTTGTCGTGCTGCGCCCTCTCCACGCTCTCGCATACGCCCTGGTCCCCACCGTTCCCCATGCGCCGCCCCTGCCAGTCCCCCTTGGACCCTCCACCGCCCACCCTTATTGTTCCCCGCTCTCTCTACCTTCTTGCATACGCCCTGCTCCACACCGTTCCCCACGCGCCGCCCCTGCCAGTATCCCTTGGACCCCCCTTCCCGCCTCTTGTACATAAACGTCGGTGCCGGGCATGTCCCCAACGGGGTTTCCACTCATTCACTCGATGACGTGGCATACAATTTTTTTATATTTAACGTTGGTTTGATTGGGCCAAATTAACCTAGTGACCGATCTTTAGGCACAAAGTCGTTTTTTCAAGGCCCTTTTTGTTTCGTAAACTGCGAGAATATGGTTTTGATTTCGAGCTTTTGGAGAAAACAGCGTGATTCACCGGTCTTTCAAGAAGCGAACGACAGCAAAATGTCCGTGATCGACCAATCAATTCCACTTTTGATTTTATTTTCTTCGAAAGTGACCGATAATTAGGGCAACCCTCCTTTATGTCAACATGGCATGTCATTGACAGCCGTTCCAGCAGTACTCTTCCGCTCTGCAATGAACCTGCACTGTGCAATTAGTAAGAACGACGTCATTTCTAGCTCTGGAACGAGAAATGCGGTCACAGTACCATAAAGAGAATAGCAAATACACTGAGCCGTGTGTCAGTGGCTGGAACAGTTTTAAATGAGAGGCAAGATTGGGAGGGCTGAAAAGAGAAGCAGCTTTAGAGCGAACTGTGCAATAGGTTACAACAAGCCATCAAGAAAAACATTCCAGAACGGCCCCGAACGAACATCAATAAGTCTCTTGAGAGGCCAGCTAAAACGTGCACTAGTAGGCATCTCGGAGAGACATGCAGCGGTACTTTATCACACTGGGGAATGTCCGACAATTGTTGCCATACTAACTTCATGAGCTTGCTCAATTTTTAAATTTTTAACACCGCACGGAAATATCATATGTGAGCGCTACAAACACACAATTCTAAATAGTGAATGTGAAGACGCCAATAAGCGCGTCATTGCGTCGGCGAGATGCACCTTTCCGGATAAGAATTTGGACACCATTCATGCTAACTCTCAAATTCCAAGAGGTTTTCATTATTTTGCAGTTCTCATGGTGACGAATTTGAACGAGATACTCGCCAGGCATCAGATTTGCCTGATTCTTGTAGCGAACAATTTCCTTTCCAACAGGGTTGGTTGAGTCGCAAACCTTTCTGTTCACATCCTTGAAAAATACACCACCCTGAGAAGACCTTTTCGATTTCCTTGAGATTTCCTGCCCATCTGGTTGAATCAGGGTAAGGTCTAGATCATCAGATGACTTCCAGCTCAATTCAACGAGAAGTTGCACATCCCTAGCTGTGAATGAAACGCAATCCGTCTCTGATCTGTCTGTGTCAACGATCGCATCCAAATCCCCGAAATTGTCGAGAAGCTGATATTGATAGATCGGTAGCCTGATGCAAAGGTCATCAAAGAAGGTCTGCTGATTACCCTTGCTTCGTCGTTTCACAATAGAAGACTTTCCAAGGGTTGGGATACGCCTAGCCGAGAAGAACGTTGCCGAGAAGCTTCTCGTCAATCCAGGGGGAGAGAACAAAGAGATCGGCGTGAGGGTGTTTCCCTCTTCCACAACAGCTTCTCCAGTTTCCAAGATAGTTCCAACGTTCAACCCAGGACGACAGATAACAGGTCCAAACACAGGCACTCCAGGTGGGCGGAGAGGGAATGGACGTCCAACGGGAGAAAGCTCCCCATCGGTGGCCTGGCAAAGCCTAAACGTACAAGAAGAACCACATTGGGCTCCAACAGATCTGGTCAGTGCAAAGAAAAAAAGTCCTACAAAAAGGTTTGCCACCATAATGCAGGATGGATTGCGGAATATTGTACGACGTGCTGGTTCAGAGATGTGCCGTTTGTCTCAAAAGTCAGTCGTCGAGAGCATTTCAGTCCTTTTTATAGTCTTTCCAAACTAAGTAGATATCAACTACCATATCAATGAATGGCGGCTACAGAAAACAATGTTCGTAGTCTCCCAGACATCATAAAGAAACTATTCCTTTTCTAGGGTGAAAGGGGGACTGTATTCTTCTCCTTGCGATTGACAGCACTCCTTGTAGTTCAAGGCTCGAGACAATCGGGGATTGTACTCACTTTTCTCTCCTGATGTGGTAGTTTCGCCCGAACCGGACATCCCCGTCGGATTTTTATGATTGAAACTGTACCCTTCATTTCATCCTGAATCCTAACCTTATGCACCCATGGGCTGCCAGTTCTCACAACATATGTTTTCAGTGTAGACAGACATAAGGAGGAGCGACCTGCTTGGAGCGCGACGTAGGTGGAAAAAGCACCATGACCTAACCCATTGGTAAGA